ATGATTTCTTTTCATAAGCAGGCTTCTTTCATAACAGCACAAGATATAAGGAAGTTAAATGTTTCGATTAAGATTCCTCACATTCAACCCACCCCCCCCGCACAGCCTTGACAACAAGCTTCTGTATGAAACAATGAATCTGGAAAATTTCAACACAATATTATCTTTACTACTTTTTCTTTCCAGCTGGAATCACTTAGACAGTTTTATGATTAAATTAAGCTAATTCAAAGAGGCCCCAAACAAATCTTTTCTACAGTGATTCCAGTGTAACAATGAGAATCTTACAGGAAAGAGGTTATAGACAGGAATCAGGGGATTTTTTTAGCAGTCTGATTGATTGATTGATTGATTGATTTGATTTGATTTGATTTGTATCCCACCCATATGGTCTATGCGACCACTCTTATCACATAGGTATAACATTTGGTGGACAAAAAAACCCTGAATGCTAGGTTCATTTTAGGCAAGATGGATTTTGTCTCCCTCCCTCTTCCCAGGAAAGAGGTCACCTCTCAAAGATGAGGATAATTATGTCTCTTGTCCTGAAAAAGTTACCTATAGAGGAAAATGGTAGAAAGCATAACCAAAGCTTGGTTTGGAACTGATAGCAGCAATGGAGAAGAAAACAACCCATCTGTCAATCCAGATGTGACTTATGTTGTTATGGTCTTGTATTGAAATAGGAGGAATACAAATATCACAAATGTAGGGATGTGAATGCACACTATGTATTATCAAAGGCTATGTATGTATTCTCGAAGGCTATCTATGTATTCTCGAAGGCTATGCACACTATGTTCCTTGTTTGCATCAATTTCAGTTGCCTCAACAGAACTAGAAACGCTGATGAGGGATTTTCAAGCCCTGAGAGATTTCTTGCTTCTAGCAGAGGGCAATACTTTTCTCCTAATAAGGTTTAATGAATTGCACAAAATGCCTCTGCACAAACTCAGTGTCTTTTTTCTTTAAACACTCACAGGCACCTACCTGCATTAACAGGTTGTCTAGGTTATGGAAACTGAGTAATGTCTGGAGATTGGGGCCCGCCTTGGTCATGCTGCAGTTCAGTCCCCTGCTGCAGCCAGCATTCTGCAGCACCCACTGTATTTGTCTTTGCCTTTGCAGTTGTCAGTGAAACATTTTGGTAGCCCTGGAGGCCCTCTGTGGTGCAGGATAGAGATAGAGCTTTCTTCTGCAACATATACAACCATGTGAAGTCTGTTTCCCTTCCTTAAAGAGACACAACAGGAATTTCCATGCTGTGATTTCAGGAGTGTGTATTGTTCTGGTGCTGGCAGTGCCACTGAACAAATGTAAGGGGGCTACATGCATGTATTGCCAGTAGTTTATGCTGCCTTTTTCTGGTGCAAAATACAAATGGGGACATCTATTGTACAAATACAGTTATGCAAATAATTTAGCAAATAGCAACGTTCATTCCATGACTCATGACACCCTTCACTTCCTAGTTGTTATTTTCTCTGTGCCCAAAATGGCATTGCTGTACTTAAATTCATTTAGGTGCAGAGGAGGACGTGCATATTCCTCTCCTTGATGTTCCTGGCACATTAAAATTAAATGCTTCTGTCATTCTATTCATAAAATCATTTTTTGATTGATGCTACAGGTAGCAGCATTGTTCTCTGCCATGTCTTGCTGCAATCTAGAATCTCAGTTAGGGGCGGAATTAACTGTCAAAAGTTTTCATTTTTTTTCAATTTGACTGAAAAGGTGATGCCTATTTAGTCTGAATTTATTGCAGCATAGTTTCTCATCTTACCCGTGTTACACCTCACCTATTCTGGGACCAACACAAAAACTATGTTACACTGCTGTTGTTTGTAGATTTGTGAAACAGGGTTAAACGAGGCCACCCTGCTGATGGAATTGCTTCACTCAACAGAACTAAGCGCATTTCCCCTCCTTCCTGTAGAAACACGTTCACCCTCTCCAAACCTGTTCTGAAGGGATGAGAACTGACCTCTGGAACTTGCTATCAGATGATACAGTAAGGTACAGGTGAAAGGAAAAAGGAAAAGAATCTTATTCTGCTAACAGAATGCTTCATCTAGGCCACCGGTGCCACACATTGCTGAATAGGGACAATTTTCACAAGATTTAAAGCAGTGACTGAAGTAAGCACTGAAAATTTGTGTTTTTATTTGTAAGACTTGCTAGTATGGTATCACCAAGATTTGTAATTAGTTACCTGGTTTGTATCATAAATTTGTCCTGCTCATAACACTTGACAGTATTATAAACTGAGCATGATTTTCCACGAAGCTGATCTTCAAATCAAAACACACAAGGGGATTCAGCATCTGTTTTGTAGGTAAATGCATGTTTGAACCTTCCTTTTGTTGACCCTCTCTGTGATAGCTTTGAAACTGCTGAATTACAAATATTGCTGCTACCTACCCAGATATTTGGTAAAGGTAAAAGCAAAATAATGGATTATCTTGTAGCAAACTTTTATCACAACAGAAAGAGATCAGGAGTTGGACATCCACTGTAACTGACTTGTCTTTAGCCCCATTTCTGCAGAGGAACTGTCTGTTCTGAGGACCACTCAAAGCCTGTATAGGAATGTTAGCAAGTCACCAGATTCTAATCAATATTTTAAAGGCAAAGACATAGTGATACACCCCTTATGAGAAAAGTATGTCTGCTTCAAATTCCTTTCCCAGTGTTGATTCTAAGCACTAAGGGCAAGACACTGTAACTGTCCTCTGGCAGATAATTTCTAGGAATACATCATATGCATCCTAGTGGGAGTGACATCAGGATAGCATGCCCAGGACTGCAGCATACATGTTGGATCCTTGAACTCTGTGTACTTTTATGAATTCTATTACAAGTAGGGTTGGTCCAAAGCTTTTTGCTGCCTGAGGAAAGGTAACAAATGATTCTCTCCCTCCACCTCTACAAATTAAGATAGAAGATACTAAAAATCAGCCAAACTGTTTAGGTGCAAGAGGCAAAAAAGCACTGAAACATGTCTCCCCATCTCAAGAAGTTTTAAAAAAGTATAGACAATATCCAAGAGGAGGACTGGCCCTCTAAAAAGTGGTTGTATTCTGCTATGAGTTACACTGATTTAGAACCCAAGCCTCATTGAAATTATTGAGCCAGAGGGTGAATATAGATGAAACTACAATTCCGTAAATGTCTGGATAACCCCTAGGTCAATCATTTTTATCACCTGGCTAAGTGTTAAGGAAGACTTTACTGCTCTTTCATTACTTCCAAAGGTTTCTGATCTGGTGTCAGAGAATGGGGAAAATGGTTATGATTTCTTTACCAATAGCAAGAAAATTTATTTATTTAATTCACACCCGCCCATCTAGACCAAAGTCTACTCTGAGCAGCTAACAGCAATCCAAATAATCCAAATATCTGACTTATTAAATGTTTGCATACTGCTCACTTTGATAATAGGGACGTGGTGGCGCTGTGGGCTAAACCGCAGAAGCCTGTGCTGCAGGGTCAGAAGACCAAGCAGTCGTAAGATCGAATCCACGCGACGGAGTGAGCTCCCGTCGCTTGTCCCAGCTCCCGCCAACCTAGCGGTTCGAAAGCATGCAAATGCAAGTAGATTAATAGGGACCACCTCGGTGGGAAGGTAACAGCGTTCTGTGTCTAAGTCGCACTGGCCATGTGACCACGGAAGATTGTCTTCGGACAAAACGCTGGCTCTATGGCTTGGAAACGGGGATGAGCACCGCCCCCTAGAGTCGAACACGACTGGACAAAAATTGTCAAGGGGAACCTTTACCTTTACCTTACACTTTGATAAGTTTCCATTTGGTAAATACCCAAAACAGGACTAAGTAATAGCTTTATTAGATTACTCAAATACTATAAACAAGTGAGCTTTTGAGTTCTTGTGTGCATTATTTTAGTGGTACAATAAACATTTTACTCAGATTTTCCACATCATCACGAAGTTGTGGTAATTTTTTCCTCGTTTGTTAAGGAAACACCGAGACTTATTACCAAAGTTGGAATCATAGGTGATACCCTTATAGACTACTAGAAAATCTCCTATAAAGTTATCACCTATTTTTGCATTTGTATTTTATTTTGTATCAACCACATGGCTACCCTTTATTTCAAAGTTGGAATCAGCTACTCTTTTGGACTACAGTTGTGGAAGTTGTAGATCATGAAATATTTTTTCTAAGTAGTGACTAAACCTAACCTATATAAATAAGATAAATGAAACTTACCTGGATGCTATTTGTTGAAATCTTCAGAGAGATCAATCTCTCTCACACACTGTGCTTGTTTATTAGGTATCTATTATATTGCCTGACACCAGGCTATGCATTTTATTGTAATATCATCCTTTTATCATTCCTCATTTTCAGCTACTGTACAGTGGTGCCTCGCTTAATGATTGCCCCGCATTACGACGCTTTATGATGATCTTTTTGCGATCACAAAACGATGGTCTAAATGGGGGAATTTCGCTTAGCGATGATCGGTTCCCTGCTTCGGGAACCGATTTTTGCTTTACGATGATAAAAAACAGCTGATCGTCGGGTTTTCAAAATGACTGCCAGGTGCTTAAAATGGCTCCCCGCTGTGCTTAGGGACGGATTCCTCGCGATACAGGCAGCGAAAATGGCCGCCGTATGGAGGACCTTCGCTGGACGGTGAGTTTTTAGCCCATTGGAATGCATTGAACAGGTTTCAATGCGTTTCAGTAGGGTTTTTAATTTTGCTTTACAATGTTTTCGCTTAACAGCGATTTTCCTGGAATGGATTATCGTTGTTAAGCAAGGCATCACTATATGGTATATCTTTTAGGCCTGAATGCTTTACAGCAGGGGTTGCCAATCTTGGGTAACCCACGTGTTCTTGGACTGCAGCTCCCAGAAACCCTGGCCAACACAGCTGGTAGTGAAGGCTTCTAGGAACTGCAACCCAAGAACATCTGGGTTACTCAAGATCGGAAACCACTGCTTTAGAGTATTACTTTGACTTGCTTTTACCTTGATGAAGACGTGGGCTCTGTGATCTGCCGCTGCATCCGTGCATGCCTGATGAGATGTTCTTTGAGTGCATTCTGAACTTCTGCTGGAATATCAGGTGAAGTGTGGCTAATCTTCATGGCTGCTTCAGCCACCTTGACCGAGGGCTTCCCGTTTTCTTTAATGGGTTCTTTTTTCTCATTGGTTTCTGAAACCTCCAAAGGTGCACTGGAAGTGTTCTGGGGGACGCTGGTTATATTCGAAGCCACGGGTTTGCTCCTCCAGCATGGCCAGCACAACTTCCAGAAGACAAAAAGGGAGACTAACAGCAAGGCAAGTCCACAGAAGCTGACGACGACTGCTAGTAGGCTGACGGAGATGTCTGCAAATAAGAGGAGGCAAAGCAGAACCCAGGCAGCTTTAATTAGGTTAGTCTATTTATTTATTTATTCATCAGATTTCTACCCCGCCCACCCAGACAGCGTCTACTCGGGGCGGCTTACAAATATCATAAAATATCATAAAATACATAAAGACATCAAACATTAAACAATTGAATCAATAAGATGGAATATTCAAGATGGGGATAATAGAAAACAAAAAGAATCTGAGATGTAATTGAATGGATTTGCAGATGGATCAATTTACATCCCTATTTCTTATACTGGTTTACTCAGAATTAATAGAGGTGTGGCTATACTGCACTCTGTTGACAGTGAGGCTTCTTGGTGTGTGTGTATCTGCAAGATACCCTCACGAACTTCCGTGACATATAAAGAGGTAGTTTTAGACCCTTTCTTAGTGGTAGCAACAAGTGAAGAAGCAGGCTGCTGTCATCAGCCATCACCACCCATTAGTAATTTGGATGTGAAGAACCAATAGCTTTCCAGTTAATCTATAATTCTGATCATCCACATTCATCATGGCTAATGCTGTGGGATTGTGGGAAGGCTAAAGGTTCTCCATCCTTGGTATAAACTGGGTTGATAGTGGTGAGGAGCAGCGGGGACTGAGCAGAATGGACAAGAATGAGCGAAGGTAAGAAAACAATGGCTCAGAAGGGCTGCCACAGGGATTTTCAGTCAGTGGTGGAACTCTTGACTACAGACCTTTGCAGGTGCCTGACAATTCTAGCTACTCACACAGGGCCTGACCTCTGATTATTCAGGAAACATAGAAAAGTCACTAACTATTTGCTCTCTCACTCACTAACTGAACAGTCCTTATGGTGGTTTCAGCATCTTTGTTGAAGAACTTATAAAAAAGTATAAGTAAGATACTAGCTACGTTCTTGGGAGGACCCTGAAACTATTACTGTAGCTAATTTTTTTTTTTTAAAAAAAACCTTGTCAAATAAGTTCAGGTTAATGGTAGTTCCCAAGAACATGCTGCACATGAAGTGGCTACCAATTTTTACCACAGGGAAAAAACTGGGAGTAATTTCTTATGCTCCTGGATCACAACAGCCTCTGGCTCACACTTAGCCCTACTCATGTTGCCAGTGAGGTCCCAAATCTATAATAAAAAATGTTTCTGCCTGATGCCAAACTGACCTTAATCTGGACAGCAGGCAAACCTCTCTGGGGTACATAGGCTGACTCTTCCCCTGGAATGGACAGTGGGGAATCAAACTCCCAACTGTGCTTCTGCAGGTAATAAGCTGGAACATGGAGCTCTGATGCAATGTGACTTACTGTTAATCAATGACTGTGTCAGGATTGGCCCTACCTTTAGGCAAAATACGACAACTCCCTCAGGCGGCAGATACTATGAGGCAGCAGCAACAGTTTCCTCAGCTTTCTAGCCATTTATTTCTGTTTGGCAACTAGAACTAACCTGCCTCATTCAGGAGCAGTGGGGGACACTATCGGGTCAAAGTAAACTACCTGTCCTTTTTACCAGCATACATGGAATTGGTTGTTGTGGGTTTTTCGGGCTCTTTGGCCATGTTCTGAAGGTTATTCTTCCTAACGTTTCACCAGTCTCTGTGGCCGGCATCTTCAGAGGACAGCACTCTATGCTCTGGTGTAGTTGGCTTGGGAGTGCAATATTCATGGCTGTGAGATAGGCTTTTGTCTTTTTCTGTAGATGGGTGATTAGTGTGTCTTGTTGTGGGTGTATTGTTGTGCTACGGAGAAGAGATGCTGGCCACAGAGGCTGGTGAAACGTTAGGAAGAACAACCTTCAGAACACGGCCAAAGAGCCCAAAAAACCCACAACAACCATTAGATCCTGGTCGTGAAAGCCTTCGCAAATACATGCATGGAATTGTTTGTGCATGTTGGTGCTGAGGAGGGTGGGGGAGAATCTTGTTCTCAGCTTCAGGTTGCCAGTGGAACTGTTTGTGCATGTTGGTGCTGAGGAGGGGGGGGGGAAGAATCTTGTTCTCAGCTTCAGGTTGCCAGCACTGGTCTGTGTCACAGATGCTTACAGCAACGGGGATCTTATCACTATAGCCTTGTTCCTTCATATCGACTCACTCCAGACCCTATTCCTGGCGGGTGTCTGAAACGTCTGCCTTGCTTGCCTTAGAGTGAACTTCCATGTGCCCTCACGTACCACAAACATTGAGTTGAACTTGTTTTCCCTTTGGAACTCTTTTGCTCCTTGCAACTCCAAAGTTAATAAAATGAATTATTAGCAGCCGGATTGGGTCAGGTTGTTCCTTCTCACGCCTCTTAATGCACCACCAAATGCATTAGAAAAGTAATGCTTTACAATTCATAATTCTTTGTACAGGACTGGTGGGCCACTGCACGACAGTTTTCACAATATTGACTCAAGCAGTGCATGACTTTTATTTTTTGTTATAAAAAGATGGACCAGTTTCAGCATATTCTGAAACTTGTTCTGTGATAAATAAGGAAGCCAACTGCTCCTTGTCCAATCCCACTACTGTGGCACAGTGCTTGGAAGCACATCCCACACAACCATTATTGTTCATGAAGGTAGCTGCTGTCAAGCACCTGGGTGCATGTTCTTAAGTGAAGGAAAAATGTTTGTATGCTGTGTGTTTGAATTGCCTATGTTGTGAATCATTAAGAGCTCCTCCCTTATTTTATCTAGATTACTAGTATGAGCTATCTTCAGGGAATGCTCTTGCTCATATTACTGTTAAGCAAAGAGTTCCTAAGTGTCAAGATGAAAACAATGTCAATCTAATGCCTTCTCCAGTTTGTAGGAGGTTCTGGAGCAAGGTCTGCTGTCTGATCCCCCTTCAATAGGTCCACATCCTTTCGAATGCTTGGAATCAGAGGGCAAGGCAACTGGAGATTACTGCTCTTCAGGTGGAAAAAAAGGACTAGAGAAGCCAGCAAGGAGGTAGGTCCACATCCTTTCCAATGCTTGGAATCAGAGGGCAAGGCAAATGGATATTACTGATCTTCAGGTGGAAAAAAAAGGACTAGAGAAGCCAGCAAGGAGAGACCATAATATAAAGCTCTAAAAATTTTCTCTTGAAGATAGACAGAAAGGTTATGTGAGCAAAAAGCAGGTATTTTGATAGATTTAGCTCAACATGTCCACTCATCATCCCCTGACGTTTAGTGCACTGTAGTTGCTAAGAAACTGAAGGGTGAACCAGAAGGTCCCTACTGTATTTCCAAAACCTACTGTAAACTCATTACTAGGAATGTGCCACTCAGATTTTTTTTGGACTTCATTTCCAATAATTCTCCATTCTGTGACTTCCACCTGACATACCTCCACCTGCAGATACCTAAATGCAGCTGACATGGAAAAGGCTTAGCTGGAAGGCTTCATTGCTTAGGTTCATGGTCTACCTTTCTGTACAAAAAAGGAAGTCATTCTGGCTGTGGAATTCTGGAAGCTATAATCTAAACCAACATCTCCTTTGGAGTGGCACACATAACTCAGCAACAAAGTACATACCCTGCATTGAAGATTACCCCTATTTTAGTCAATGATGCCTCTTCTGGGCATTATTCATATATATTTCGTTGGACTCTTTCTTCCAAGCACTGTGAACACCACTACCACTCCTATATTTTCCTTATTACTATTTGGGATTATAATGGTGGTGATGATGGTGGTAGTGATGATGATGATTAGCCTTCCAGACCAAACAGTCTGTGAACCAGTGAGATGAAAACTATGAAACAGACTTAATAGATGGGCTTAGACTGGGATTCCACCAGTTTGAACATCCTGGTTTAGTATTTTTAAAACAACACGGGGAATTGTGTTAGTTCCTTAAAATGCTTGTACTCCTGCTGAATATTTTGAGGCCTCCTGGTTCTTAGTTCTTCTGACAGGTAGGCTCTTAAACTTGTAAAGGAGCCATGCAGTCATCAAGACAAGAGAAGTGTAAATGTTCTCTGGCTTTTAAGACAAGAAAAGTGTAAATGCACTTTGATGTTAAGCAGAACTCATTCTGACTAAGCACTATAATTACTCCCGTTCAGCGCACATTAGTCAGCTGCTGTGAGGACGTCTACTGTCGTCTAAGTATTTGGAATGTATAAATGCTTTTCGACAGTGATATCTCCTCAAGGCTTTGCATTTGTGTTCTTTATCTTGTGTAATTTTAGTGCTTAATTTTATCTGAGAGCAGTTTTTAATTCATGGGATTTGGCTTTTCATGCCTCTGAGCATAAACACAGATCTGTCTGGAAGTGAGGGGAGGAGAAGTACGTGTATGCAAATAAACACACATTTTTCCCCTTGAGAATAATTAGAAGTCAATTTGCCACTGAAGTACACACTAACATGCTGCCTTTCAAAGATTTCCCATGGGGTGATGTTGTACTAGGAGAATTAACGCTTGAATTACCACCAACCACGTATATAACACAGATAAGAGATGGACAGAACTTGGAAAGCAGGATTCTTTTGGCTGGCTGGGGGTTTCTGGGAGTTGTGATTCAAAAAAAGTAATGTTCCCAAGCTCTGGCAGTTTCTAATAAAAATAAGACATAACTTGGCCAGGTCACTCTCTTTGTTTTACCTACTTAAACAATCAGAAGCTTTCCCCCTTGATTGCTAGGAAAGGTTATGTTCTCTGAAAACACATTTTCTGCAACGCAAGTCTGCAGTCCATGCCTATATGGACTGAACAAGTACCACATTCATTCAATGGTCTACTTTGTGTTTTTGTTAGTTTATTTCTTTAAAATATTTACCCCATTTTTCTCCATCCAATCAAAGCATATATGCCAGGTGATTATCTAAGTTTTTCTGGAATGCCTCCAGTGTTGGAGCACTCACCAACTCCTGTGGTAACTGTTCCAGTGTCGTTCTGCTCTAACAGGAGGTTTTTCTCGATATTCAGCCGAAATCTGACTTCCTTGAGCCCATTGTTGCATGTTCTGCATTCTGGGATGATCAAAAATGGAACCCCCCCCGTATGACAGCCTTTCAAATATTTGAAAAGTGCTATCATATCACCCCTCAGTCTTCTTTTTTCAAGGCT